AGCAGATATTCAGTGAAATGTGTTAGGTCACTGTTGAATATATAGTTTAAATTGTGAACTATATTTATCGACTTTTTGCAGGACAATATTGCGATAAGCTATTGTTATTATTTACATTATTAGTAGGAGTATTAATAGTAATAGTAGTAGCTTTACATCTATTATTTTATTTCAACACGAGTCAAAACGATGACCCACAATCGTTTATTCTGAGACACACAGTTAACATAACATTCTGTAATGTTTTATTTTTATCTCTTACTCATCGTTTCGTGGTATAAAAGCTCTAAGTGGCATGCTTGTGTTCGTGTTTTTGAGCTTCATACGTATGCAGTCATGCCTGTGTTGTTTTTGTGTATATTTAGTACTTGCAAAATAGGACCTATTCGATAGCACCTCCCCTCTTCATTGCTTCAAAAATAGAAACTGTCAACAATCCCTCTTAATCAAACAAAAACAGTCGCGTGTAGTGATGTTATGGCAACAGAGAAAATTACAATTTTGCAAAAAATTTGTTGTGCTTTACACATCTCACCTGCATGCTTTGTATGTAGAGAATGGGCAGATTAATTTCGCTTTGTTTTATTTCTTTGTTGGAAATTGTTCTCTGTAAATGTCCGTTTTCTTTAAATGAATGGATGGAAGAATTCTGTGAAAATATAAATAACATAATGAGCCTCAAAATCAATTTTAAATCCAGAGAGATGACGTTGGATTAACAGGTCACAAGACCAGCAGTGCATATTGGTGTACGGATTTAATCTCAGTGTTGTTGCTGTGTCTTTAACGGCACTGCTCAGCTGTCTTCCTATTGGATGTTACTGTGAGACGCTCTGCTCCAATAGCATGCAGAACTGTACAAAGAGATCTACCTCCTCCCCCTACAGCCTCAGCATCGTAAACGTTAACAATGCAACGAGCTGGAGGACGGTGTGATGCGCTCGTATTTCGAATGTTGAGAAAAAAACAGGAAAATTAAGCGTCAGACATGAAAAACATTGGGTGTTATATTTTTACGGATATAACTAACACTCACTGGAACTGGATATTTACTTTGCTTTACTTGATGGGAAATAACATGTTGTAACGGATCGGGGATGACAAAGAGAATGAGATACCAAGACTGGAGATGGCTGGCTCTTTGGTGGCATAATTTCTTTCTCTTGTGGAATACAATAGACGGACAGACTCGTTACAGTATCCAAGAGGAGCTAAAACAGGGCTCTGTGGTAGGAAATCTTGCCAAAGATCTGGGTTTGGCATTATCTGACATTTTTGACCGCAGGCTGCGTGTCGCCTCTCAGGCTGGAGAGCAGTATTTCAGTGTGGATGCGGGGAAGGGCGAGCTTGTGGTAAATGACAGAATAGACCGAGAGGCTTTATGTGGACAAAGCGCCAGCTGTGTGTTACCTTTACAGATAGTTCTTGAAAATCCTTTAAATTTACATCGAATTGAGGTCGAAATAAAAGATATGAATGATAATTCTCCAAGCTTCCAGACAAAGGAGCTGTCTTTGAAAATTGCGGAGTCGGCAGCAGTGGGAACTCGATTTGTTTTGGAAAGCGCAGAGGATGCAGACGTTGGGAGTAATTCAGTAAAATCCTACACGTTGACTAAAAACGAGTGTTTTACATTGAAAATGAAGGAAGTTGAAGATGGCAAAGCAGTGCCCGAGTTAGTATTAGAGAAACCTCTTGATCGAGAGAAGAAGGCCATTCATCAGCTACTGCTGACGGCATTAGATGGGGGTAACCCAGTATTGTCTGGTACCTCACAAATAACAATCACAGTGCTAGACGTCAATGACAATTTTCCAATGTTTGAAAAAAACACGTATAAAGTTTCTTTACAGGAAAATACTGCACAAAATACATTTGTAGTTAAAATTGCGGCGACGGATGCTGACGAGGGGCCAAACGGAGAAGTTGAATTCTCTTTTGGTTCGCGGACTCCAGATTCCGTGTTGTCACTATTTGAAATCAACCCACTAACTGGAGAAATACATTTGAAAGGAGACCTAGATTATGAAAAAGCATCGTCCTATAAAATTGAAATTACGGCAAGAGATAAGGGTGTTCCGGAAATGGAAAGTCACTGTCGTCTACAGATAGATATTGTGGATGTAAATGACAACACTCCAGAAATTGTTCTCACCTCTGAACCGCAGCCAGTTCGCGAAGATGCAGCTAGTGGCACAGTTGTGGCTTTGCTCAATGCACGTGATGCTGACTCCGGTAATAATAGTAAAGTAACACTGAGAGTACCTAAAGGCTCTCCTTTCACTCTGAAACCATCATTTTCTAATAATTACGCGCTGGTTACAAGCGGTCCTTTAGACCGAGAGAGTTTCCCAGAGTATAATGTAGAAATCACAGCCACTGATTCAGGCTCTCCTCCCTTGACCAGTAAAAATATCATACCTGTTATTATCACTGATGTTAATGATAACCCTCCTGTATTCACTCAACGAAATTATAATGTGTATTTAAAAGAGAATGGAGTACCAGGCTCTATCCTGTACTCAGTATCAGCATCTGACCTGGATTT